CAGACGGCTGGCGGTTCAAACCCACCAGCCACTCCTCGGAAGGAAGGTTGGGCAATCCTACTTCCGTAGTGATACTGCCTCGGAAACCCAAGGGGGTGTCGCTATGAGTCGGGGCCGACTGGACGGCACATAACAACAACAACAACAACAACAACTGGTGGCATAGTGCCTAAGGCATTTGACTGCTAACCAGAAGGCTGATGGTTCAAACCCACCAGCCACTCTTCAGAAGGAAGGTTGAGCAATCTACAACTGTAGAGATAAGGCCTCAGAAACTCAAGGAGGGATCGCTATGAGTCAAATTGATTCAACAGCAGTGAGTTTTGGAGTTTTAGTAAATAAATAAATGGCATCAGCCAGGGCTTTGTATAATTTTCAGAACCTGTAATTAGAACCTTTGAGACTAACTGGGATACATTAGTTATATAGGACTGCTCTTCTGCAATGAGATTAAGTCTTGTGTTGCTTTTTGAAAAATAAATTTGAGGGAGTGCTTAGAATTTTTTTTCCCCAGGCTTTTACATGTTATTGGTTGGAAAGTCTTTAAGTGCAAGATTTGACTCTTGAGCAAGATTATTAAGATGATCCTAACTTAACTCCTATGTGTAGGGAAGAGAGGTTTTTTTTTTTTTTTTTCTCTTTTTAAATTTTTATTGTGATTTGGGTGAAAGTTTACAGAGCAAATTCATTTTCCATATGGCAGTTTACACACACTTTGTCTCATGACATTGACTGCAATTTCCCACAACGGAACAGCTCTCTTCCCCCTTCCTCCCCATAGTTTCCTCTTCCCTGTGTCCATCCCTCTTATGCACTCCTGCCCCCTGAGCTGTATCCCTGTGTATACACAGCCCTTCTATTCTCCCATGACTAGTGTCTCCAAGGAATGAATCTACCTAACGTAAATGTTCAGTTCATATGCCTGTCTTTTGTTTGGCTGGAAGCCACGGGAGTGGGTTCAATTCCAGACCTAAAGGGCAGCTAGGGGTCATGGTCCCAGGGGTTCCACCAGGCTATGGAAGAAAGTTTTGCCGTTTAATTCTACTTTGTGCAAGGTGCTCTTGGAGTCAAGGTGGGAGGATCCAAAGAACTATGAGATTGCTCCTTACCCCTCAATGAAGAGGTGGCATTGCGATGAAGACAGGGAGTATGATGAAGATCTCTATCCATTTAAGTAATACTTCAAGAAAACAACAGAAGAGATCAGCGTTATAGAAACCAGACCAAAAAACCAATCCCATTGCCACTGAGTCAGTTCTGACTCATAGGCAACCTTCTAGAATAAAGTTGACTGGACCCATAGAGTTTCCAAGGTTGTAAGTCTCTACGGAAGCAGACTGCCACATCTTTCTCCCGTGGTACGGCTAGTGGGTTTGCACTGCCAGCCTTTTGGTTAGCAGCCCAGCTCTTAACCAGTACCCCACCAAGGCTCCTAGTCTTTTAGAGTTTAGGTGATTGTTTGTCAATTTAACTGCACAAACTAACCGTTCTGGAATTCAGAGGAGGGAGAGATGCCATAGATTGGCTTGGAAATACCATATATAGGAGAAGAGGAGGATTTGAGTTGGGTAGGACTAAACAGGTGGGCATGGGGGTGGAGAGCATTCCAGGAGGATGAAGTGGCATGAGCAGAGGTGTGGAGGCATGAAAGCAGACTGTTTGGGTGACAGCAAGTAAACTAAGTTATTTGGAGGGGAAGGAGTTGGTGTTGGGAAGTTGTGGGAGGAATCACCAGCTCTCATTAGCACAACCCTTGGCTAATACCAAGGTTTCTAGGTTTACCTTTATACCCAAACACCAAGTCATTCAAGATCTTGGATGTTCGGCTGTGCATATGTTTGTGTATCTTATTATATGTGTACTTGATGACTTTGAAGATTGGCTATAGTTATCATTGTATGCATCAGTGATTGTTCTTATTTTAGTCAGAAGTGGGAGGGTTCCATGTAGACATACACATAGTCCCAGCATAGGGTAGTACCCTTATCTTCTTCTCCGGCTGCAAATCCTGACCCAGGTAGAAAGCAGCCTACTTTCTGATAGTTTGGGTTTCATATAACCCTGATGTTTCTCAAGACCCTTTTAGCACTTAGCCCCTTGAGCCTGTGGGCTGATGTTCTTGTGATCCCTGGACATTTGCTTCACTTTGCAAAAGGTGGCCAGAGATTTTCCACTGCAGACTCAAGAGCTATTCTG